CTAAAATGGCCCACTTCCTTCCACTAGCAAAGAATCCATCTGCTTCCAAAACGGCACAGGTGTTCATTAAAGAGATTGTGAGACTTCACGGAGTGCCAAAAAATATTGTCTCGGACCGGGGAGTGCAATTCACGTCCAAATTCTGGAAGGCGTTATGTAAGGGGTTGGAGATCAAGTTATCTTTTTCTTCTGCATATCACCCACAGACTAACTGGCAGACAGAACGGACTAATCAGACGATCGAGCAATATCTGAGATGTTATACATCATTTCTGCAAGATGACTGGCTGACACTTCTGCCAATGGCGGAATTCGCATATAATAATGCGAATCATTCTGCTACCAACCAATCCCCATTCTTCGCCAACTATGGGTTCCACCCTACCTTCCTGCCAGACCTGGTTACAGAGAACTCAGTCCCAGCAGCCCAAGACACCTTAAATTTCTTCACAACCAATAACAAGTTATTACAGGAAACAATGGCTAGAACCCAGGAAGATAGTAAAAAGTTCTTTGACAGGAGAAGAAAGAGGGAATTGTTCATACACCCCGGGGATCGGGTTTGGTTGTCAACAGCAAACCTAAAACTGACATGTCCATCAAGGAAATTGGCACCCAAATTTGTGGGACGCTTCGAAGTAGAACGTAAGGTTAATGAAGTGGCATTTAAACTGGCACTCCCCGAATCCCTCAAGATACATCCGGTGTTCCATGTGTCGTTGCTAAAACCTGCAGTACCAGACCCCTTTTTAGACCGCAGATCTAGACCTCCAGAGGCCATAGATATTAACGGAGAGGAAGAATTCGAGGTAGAGGAAATCTTGGATTGCAGGAAAAGGGGTGGTCAAGTGCAATACCTGATCAAGTGGAAAGGCTATGGGCCAGAGGAGAATTCGTGGGAACCTGCTCAGAATGTCCATGCTCCCAGATTGATGTGGGAATTCCTTCGTAACCAGCCTCAAAAGGAGGAATCGGGTGGGCATCCGGAGCCTGCCCATAAGGGGGGGGGGCAATGTCAGGGACCCCAGAGCTGGCCGCGATCGCGCACGGGTTTGCGCATGCACGGTGTGCCCCGGCCGCACTAGCGTGCGAGCATTGGGACCTGGGCACCCGCGATTGCAGCGGCGCACTCGCGATCGTGGACACGCGCCTGGCACCAATCAGGGAGCAGGGCGCCCTATTTAAAACAGGTCGGGGCTGACTCTAGTTGCTGTATGGTCTTACCTGTATCCTGAGTTCCTGTATTGTAGATTGCCTTGTTGCCGACCCTGATTTGGTACCATTCTGCCTCCACCGTTACCGACCCGGCCTGCCCGACTCTGCTCTTGTTACCTCCTCACATCAGGCTCTCACCTGCTGTACACCTCCAGTGGTGCTTCTACCACAGCTGGGTGAACCCAGGGGCCGTGACCTGGTCTCGGCCTGCTCCAAGTCCATCCCCACCATCAGGGGCCCTGGTGAACAAACAGGTTTGGACTTAAATGCCACGCCTTGGAGGATTCCGGTCTGTGGAACGCTAGAGGCTACCACTGGTAGGAACATGACACATGTTGATAGAATTTTTACCAAAAGTTTTTGGAAAAATGTAAATATATATATATATATATATTATATTACATTACAGGTGAAACTCCAAAAATTAGAATAGCGTGCAAAAGTTCATTTCAGTAATGCAACTTAAAAGGTGAAACTAATATATGAGATAGACTCATTACATGCAAAGCAAGATAGTTCAAGCCATGATTTGTCATAATCGTGATGATTATGGCTTACAGCTCATGAAAACCCCAAATCCACAATCTCAGAAAATTAGAATATTGTGAAAAGGTGCAATATTATAGGCTCAAAGTGTCCCACTCTAATCAGCTAATTAAGCCATAACACCTGCAAAGGGTTCCTGAGCCTTTAAATGGTCTCACAGTCTGGTTCAGTAGGAATCACAATCATGGGAAAGACTGCTGACCCGACAGTTGTGCAGAAAACCATCATTGACACCCTCCATAAGGAGGGAAAGCCCCAAAAGGTAATTGCAAAAGAAGTTGGATGTTCCCAAAGTGCTGTATCAAAGCACATTAATAGAAAGTTACAGTGGGGCAAAAAGTATTTAGTCAGCCACCAATTGTGCAAGTTCTCCCACTTAAGATGAGAGAGGCCTGTAATTGGCATCATAGGTAGACCTCAACTATGGGAGACAAAATGAGAAAAAAAATCCAGACAATCACATTGGCTGATTTGGAAAGAATTTAATTGCAAATTATGGTGGAAAATAAGTATTTGGTCAATATCAAAAGTTCATCTCAATACTTCGTTATATATCCTTTGTTGGCAATGACAGAGGTCAAACGTTTCCTGTAAGTCTTCACAAGGTTGGCACACACTGTTGCTGGTATGTTGGCCCATTCCTCCATGCAGATCTCCTCTAGAGCAGTGATGTTTTGGGGCTGTCGCTGGGCAACACGGACTTTCAACTCCCTCCAAAGGTTTTCTATGGGGTTGAGATCTGGAGACTGGCTAGGCCACTCCAGGACCTTGAAATGCTTCTTACGAAGCCAGTCCTTCGTTGCACGGGCGGTATGTTTGGGATTATTGTCATGTTGGAAGATCCAGCCACAATTCATCTTCAATGCCCTTGCTGATGGAAAGAGGTTTGCACTCAAAATCTCATGATACATGGCCCCATTCATTCTTTTCTGTACATGGATCAGTCGTCCTGGTCCCTTTGCGGAGAAACAGCCCCAAAGCATGATGTTGCCACCCCCATGCTTCACAGTAGGTATGGTGTTCTTTGGATGCAACTCAGCATTCTCTCCGCTCCAAACACGACGAGTTGTGTTTCTACCAAACAGTTCTATTTTGGTTTCATCTGACCATAGGACATTCTCCCAATGTCAGGGGGACACGTCTAGCACTGCAGGATCTGAGTCCCTGGCGGCGTAGTGTGTTACTGATGGTAGCCTTTGTTACGTTGGTCTCAGCTCTCTGCAGGTCATTTACTAGGTCCCCCCCGTGTGGTCCCGGGATTTTTGCTCACCGTTCTTGTGATCATTTTGACCCCATGGGGTGAGATCTTGCGTGGAGCCCCAGATCAAGGGAGATCAGTGGTCTTGTATGTCTTCCATTTTCTAATTATTGCTCCCACAGTTGATTTGTTCACACCAAGCTGCTTGCCTATTGCAGATTCAGTCTTCCCAGCCTAGTGCAGGTCTACAATTTTGTTTCTGGTGTCCTTCGACAGCTCTGCTCTTCACCATAGTGGAGTTTGGAGTGTGACTGTTTGAACTTGTTATCAGTATAAAAGACACCTGTCCACAACCTCAAACAGGTGCCATTGATACAGGTAATGAGTGCAGGACAGAGAAGCCTCTTAAAGAAGAAGGTACAGGTCTGTGAGAGCCAGAAATCTTGCTTGTTTGTAGGTGACCAAATACTTATTTTTCACCATAATTTGCAAATAAATTCTTTCCAAATCAGCCAATGTGATTGTCTGGATTTTTTTTCTCATTTTGTCTCTCATAGTTGAGGTCTACCTATGATGCCAATTACAGGCCTCTCTCATCTTTTTAAGTGGGAGAACTTGCACAATTGGTGGCTGACTAAATACTTTTTTGCCCCACTGTATGTGGAAGGGAAAAATTTGGAAGAAAAAAGGTGCACAAGCAGCAGGCATGACCGCTGCCTGGAAAGGTCTGTCGTGAAAGTCCCCAACACTTTTGAATGGCCTTTTCCTAAGGAGTGCACTGAGGCTGGAGTCAGTGCATCAAGAGCCACCACACACAGACGGATCCTGGACATGGGCTTCAAATGTCGTATTCCTCTTGTCAAGCCTCTCCTGAACAACAAACAATGTCAGAAGCATCTTACCTGGGATAAAGAAAAACAGACCTGGTCTGTTGCTCAGTGGTCCAAAGTCCTCTTTTCTGATGAGAGCAACTTTTACATCTCATTTGGAAACCAAGGAACCAGAGTATGGAGGAAGAATGGAGAGGCCCACACTGCAAGATGCTTGAAGTCCAGTGTGATGTTTCCACAGTCTGTGCTGATTTGGGGAGCCATGTCATCTGCTGGTGTTGGTCCACTGTGCTTCATTAAGTTCAGGGTCAACGCAGCTGTCTACCAGGAGATTTTGGAGCACTTCATGCTTCCTTCCGCAGACGAGCTTTATGGGGATGCTGACTTCTTTTTTCAGCAGGACTTGGCACTTGCCCACACTGCCAAAAGAACCAAAACCTGGTTCAATGACCGTGGGATTACTGTGCTTGATTGGCCAGCAAACTTGCCTGACCTGAACCCCATAGAGAATCTATGGGGCATTGCCAAGAGAAAGATGAGAGACATGAGACCGAACAATGCAGAAGAGCTGAAGGCCGCTATTGAAGCATCCTGGTCTTCCATAACACCTCAGCAGTGCCACAGGCTGAGCTTCCATGCCACACCGCATTGAGGCAGTAATTGCTGCAAAAGGGCCCAAACCAAGTACTGAGTACATATGCATGCTTATACTTTTCAGAGGTCCGATATTGTTCTACGCACAATCCTTGTTTTATTGATTGCATGTAATATTCAAATTTTCTGAGATTGTGGATTTGGGGTTTTCATGAGCTGTAAGCCATATTCATCACAATTATGACAAATCACGGCTTGAACTATCTTGCTTTGCATGTAATGAGTCTCATATATTAGTTTCACCTTTTAAGTTGCATTACTGAAATAAATGAACTTTTGCACGATATTCTAATTTTTCGAGTTTCAACTGTATATACATACTTTTTTGTGTAAAAAAAAAAAAAATTGTCATTTAAATGATTTATTGCTCACACATGCCATGAGTATATGTGCAATTACTCCCCAAAATACATTCTGCTCCTTCTCCCGAGTATGGGGATACCACATGTGAGACTTTTTGGCAGGCCTAGCCAAGTACAGGGCTCCAAAATCCAATAGGCACCTTCAGGCTTTTAACCTCCCTGGCGGTATTCCCGAGTGTAGCTCGGGGTAAAGTTTCTGTACTAAAAGTGGTAACCCCGAGCTACACTCGGGCTTACCATGTGGCGCTGCATAGGGAGTCCCTCCAGCACTTACCTTGTCCTTCGCTCCCGCAATGTGTCCCCTGCAGCGTCCCCGGCCATCTCCTCCGGCTGATGCCAGCATCCGGCTTCTATTTTCCGGTCGCTGCGACGTCGGGACGTACGGGCGCCGCCGGAGGCGGGAAATGTGAAAATTAAAAAAAAATGTCATTTTTTTCAAAAACGAATTTTACATAGTAAAACATTGCTGTTTCAAACTATTTCACATACATTTTGTCCCTAGTGCTTTTTCCTGTCCACTGTCTGCATTTTGACTGTTCTTTCTGCTTGGAAACTTAGAAAAGTCCATGGCGTCCAAAAAGCATCCCTTTAGGTCAAAAGCGGTTTTAGACCGGCTAGAGAACAGCGATAGTAAATCAGAAGCACTTGCAGAATTGAGTGATGATTAGTGGAGAAATTCGTCATCAGACACTGAAAACAATTTTGCGACTTTGCTCAGTAATGTGCAAACTTGGTGCTATATTTCAAATTTCAGTGTTTTTGGTTTGATTATATTATTGAATTAAATGTATTATTATATTATTATTTTTTATGATTATTTATTAAATTATAATTTATGATTTTGTGTTTCAAATTTTATCATACCCAGGATGTTTAATAGACTCTTGTTCGGACAGATTTCAGTGAGTTATTCCTAAATATTACCGCCTACAAATAAAAAAACTACATATTTCCATGCAAAATAATGGTACCGCTTTCAGCACCAAAAATCTGAAATAATCATACCGCCAGGGAGGTTAAAGGACTTTATTTCCTCATTACACTTCCTAAATACCTATCACAGTGTTGGAGGCCCTGAAATGCCAGGATAGCACAAACCCTCCCAAGTGACCTTTTTGGAAAGTAGATACCCAAAGGAATTAGATAAGACGCATGGTGAGTATTTTACAGATCTCATTTGTTGCCAAAAGTTTTTGGAAAATGGAGAAAGAAAACAATCTTTTTTTTTTTTTTATTTCAAAACCTTGTGAGAAAAAATTAGATCTGCAAAATACCATGCCTTTTTTTTAAATTCCTTGGGGTGTCTACTTTCCAAAAAGGGTTTTATTTTTTTTTGGGGGGGGGGTTAGTGCTATTCTGGCATTTCAGAGCTTCCAAAACTGTTAAAAGGGACTGAGGAAGTGAAATGAAGAAGTTACGCACCTTCAGGCTTTCAAAGTGGTCATTGGATTTCAGGCTCCTGTACGTGGCTAGGCTCCCAAAAAGTCTCAGAGGTGAGTGGGGGGAGGGAATGCTAAGATGCATCTACCCTGTGTGCATTTGGGATGGACCATCAGCAATGTGGAGGTGGTGTCCAAGTCCATCTTTAGTGGGGGGCTTGTAGTAGTATGGGCTTGTAAGAGGAGGCAGCCGGCTGTAAGAGCTTGTAGATACTCCTAATGCAGGTAGAGAAGAGAGACAGCAGTGCCGCTTTAAGTTTAGCAGGTTAAAATCAGGCAGATTTAATGGTAAAATTGCACCAACATAGGTCGGTAACAGATAAGTATGTCAAGTGATTGAGGTCCAGTGGGAGCATCCGGTCCTTTAGCCAGGCTCTGGGTTTTACCACCGCTCCGTTGGTGTCCAGGGCTCGGGGAGTAGCAGAGGGGCACAGGGAGGCTCGCAAGAATGATGTCACCGCATGGAACGGGTTACCAAGATGGCTTGTAGCAGAATGTATTTTGTGGAGTAATTCCACATATACCCATGGCTTGTGTGAGCAATATCATTTAAGTGACAACTTTGAAAAAAAAAAAAATGTTTTTGTCATTTTCCAAAAACTTGTGGAAAAATAGAAAATCTTCCATGGACTTAAAATGCCTCTCAGCAGATAGCTTAGCGTGTCTACTTTCCAAAAAGGGGTCATTTGGGGATGTTTGTACTGTCCTGGTATTTTAGCACCTCAAGAAATGTGATGGGCAGTCAGGAAGTAAAAGCTGTGTAAATTCAATTATCTATACCATAGTTTGTAGATGCTATAACTTTCACACAAAAGCAATCAATATACACCTATTGGGATTTTTTTTTTACCAAAAGACATGTAGCAGAATACATTTTGATATAAAAAGGTTTTACTTTTGGCTATAAAAAATATATAGTAAACTCAAAAGGTTTTTATTTTTGTTTATAGCGTGAAAAATAAAAAGCACATAGGTGATCAAATACCACTGAAAGAAGGCTCTATTTGTGTGAAAAAAAGGACATAAATTTAATTTATGTACAGCATTGCATGACCGCGTAATTGTCAGTTAAACTAGCGCAGTGCTGCATAGCAAAAAAATGGCATAAATTGCAGTATCTATACCATAGTTTGTAGAAACTTTCACACAAAGCAATCAATATACACTGGCATTTTTTTTTACCAAAAACGTAGCAGAATACATGTTGGCCTAAATGTATGACTTTCAGTTTAATATATATTTTTTTATAGCTGAAAGTAAAAACTATCAGGGGTCTTTTGTTTATAGCGCAAAAAATAAAGCACACAGGTGATCAAATACCACCGAAAGAAAGCTCTATTTGTGTGAAAAAAAGGACATAAAATTTGTTTGGGTACAGCATTGCATGACTGCGCAGTTACCAGTTGAAATAGTGCAGCGCCGAATAACAAAAGAAAAAAGCCTGGTCAGAAAGGGGGGGGGGGGTAAATCCTCAGGTGGGCAAATGGCTAATTATTTTCAACAGCATAAGTAATGTAGCCCATATTTTTTTTTCAACTTTCCAGTTAGGTGCTGTATATTTTGTAATTTAAAGTTTAAGCACCAAGTGACTAAAATAATTATAACAACCACTACGTTTACGTAACCATCTCTGGTGTCATGCATATAATTTATACCCCACTTGACTGAGACCGAATATTAGAGCCCAGATACTGCTGGGTCTGACATATCCTGGAACACAACACATGCCAGCCAAGCTTGACATACAGAACCTCTGACTGTTACTATGATAACCATAAACAACTTGACCTGGAGCAGTTGCAGCCAAACCCCCTTTCCTCCCCCCGCCCCTTTTTTTTTCCTTCTCTCTTCCAATCCTCTCCCCCCCTTTTTCCTCACTCTCTCTATCCTACACTCTTACCATTACCTTCCCACTTCTTCGATTATCGGAAGACCCACAGGTACAAATACAGTTCATAAGCTTCCATCCTCAGGGGTGGGCATCCAATAACCCACTGATATAACCACCCTTCCACCATGTACTGCATTGCATTCTGTAATTAAAGGGACTATATGATGATTTGCTGATTCATGTACCCAATTGCTATGTTCACATCTTTTCTGTCTGTTTTTGTTTGGATTTTGTTTTTCATTTATTATTGTTTTCAGCATTGTTATGTGAAGAAACCATGTATACTTCAGATGTACATCCCGACAGGGGATACTTGCATTTGCTGAGACTATCCATGATCTGAATGCAACCTATATATGTTATCATTGTGCCTCTTTTCTCAATAAAAATTTTTGGAAAAAAAATAAAAACCCTAAAAACTATTACATGAAAAAAGAGATTTGGACTTAATTAAAGTGGAACTTCATTGCATCAGAGCACTATAAACCAAAAGCACTATTTAATTCACATTTAATATTCAAAGCAAACTTGCCTGTCAATCCATGTCTCCATGCTTTATTTTGCTAACAAATCACTGTGAAAAAACACCCCCTAGCATTTCTGGCCATGGCCATCTTGAGTAAGGGCAGATTTGTGCAGCACTTCCTGGAATCCATCTGCCCTTAGTACAGGCAAGAAGTAGGAGGGTGTGCTTAACTGGAAAAGCAGCTCTTCCTATCCTAAAGACTCCTAGGATGTACTAGTTAACTAGTTAACACCAAAAAAAAAAAAAAAAGGTCTAAAAACAAGTAAATAGGATATACTTTCCTTTCTATTTTTTAACGCCAGCAGAACAAGGATTAAAAATATGCAGTGTTGATCGAGTGAAGTTCCACTTTAAATTTCTTATCATGGAGTACAGTATAGGACTCCATTATGAATACAGAATATGTGCTTAGAATATACCTAAAACAATGAATATGAAAAAATTATTTAAAAATAGTGTCCGAAAAAAAACGTATAAAAACTCAAAAATAATAAGAATACAAAATTCTATATATCTTGAAAGAAGGAAGAAATGTCGAAGGTGCAAGTGCAAAGAAATAAATCCAGTGGAAATGTAAATTTTCTAGCGATCACACAATGGCGCAGACCCAGTGTCCAGATCAATTCCAATACACCCGTAAATAGAGGCAAGAGAAATCAGCTGCTTACCAGATAACCATGACCATCACAGTAAATGGTCAAACCACGCTTATAGGGTTATTGAGGCTAACCCTCACCACTCACCATTATTCCGGACAGCTAGCCACAACTCAGAAACTCAAAAGGTAGGAAGTGCTTCCATAGTGTAAAACCACATTAAAAGTATTTATTGTACATAAACCTTATACACCTACGACATCCAAGGGCCAGAAAAGGCTTCACAGCACATATAATACAAGTGCATAGCATTTCTATGGGCTACTTCAGATCCGTCCCACTCATCCAATCACTTGTGGTGCGTGATGACTCCTGAAGGCCCCACATGACATGTTTTGTCACAGATGACGTCGTCCGGACCATGGGAGAAAGCCACGCACCGCTGTTTACATACAAACTGAAAAAAGCACCAGCGCCATATTGAATACTGGCAACCCCCCACAATATAGAGATAAGATACAGTGCCCTGTGAAGAGTAAGTGAATCCTCACTACATAGAAAATTCCATCTTAAACAGACCCTTCAACAACAAATTAAAATAATAAACATTTAAAAACTAATCATAATATACCCATTGACGTTACCCCAGGTGGGATTGGTAATCCTTCCCAGTATGGATCAGACTGGAGACAGAATAATTATCAGTCTTCAGGGAAATACAGACACCCCTCACAGGGTAGTCCAGTACATGTAAGTAATAGGTATGCACCTTTGGAAAAAGAGAGAGGATCACTATGAGGTACTAAGGGTGACAGTCCGATACCCTATGTACACTCCACAACAAGGTAATTATGATGCACCCCATAGGCAGGAATATGGGCAACAGAAGTGTCAAATGAGGAAACAAGGCAATAAAAGCACCAGAGGGGGGGGAGGTGGAGGTGAGTCAGTGCCAAAAAGGAGGCAGTTTTAAACAGTGCTGGATTTTAAATTTGAGTAAAGTGGAGCTGACATATGAAGAGAGGAAAGTGTTGTTGTGGTCTTAAAGCAGAGCTCCACCAAAAAGGGGAAGCTCTGCTTGTCTGCCGCCTCC